CCCCAAAAATAAGAAAAATTTAAATTGTGGCAGGTGCAACAACTGAACACTAAGTAAGGAAGCAAAATCTCAAGGTTCCTTGAAGTTCTCTTCATTCTTTGAAGTAGAAGGACCAAAGGCAGATAGCAAGAAGCCAGCCTTGATTAGGTGACCTCAAAATGCCAAAAGATTGGATCAGAATGACTCAGAAATCAAGAAGCTACTTGTAGCAAAGCAATACATTGTCAAACCAGGATGCTGCCCGGGGCTTGTCAAAAGGATTGTGTTGGGACTTGTAGATGGCCCCAACTCTTAAGGGCCTTCAGGGGGGTATTTCTGCTGCCTGCCACCAGGTTGGAAAGCAGCAGGAGTGTGTTGGGTCACCAGCCTTGGCATGCCCGCAGAAGGGAAGACGTGCTTTCCCCATGTCCCCAAAGCTAGGAAACTGCTAGGAAATATATTTTATTTTATTTTTGATATGGGGACCACACTCAACTATGCCCAGGGATTACTCCTGGCTCAGCACTTCAGCAGTTACTCCTGGCAGTGCTCGAGGGGACCATACAGGATCAGATCCAGGTCAACTTATGCAAGGTAAGCGCGCTACCCACCCTACTATCACTTTGGTCCACCACTAGAAAATCTAGATCCCACTGAACACTTCCTCTCCCAAACTTTGCGATGGAATTCCTGCATCTCGATTTCCTTCTGAGAATCTCACAAGCTTGTCCTTCCTTTCCTTCCCTTCCTCCCTCCTTTCCTTCTTTCCTTCCTTCCTTCCTTTCCTCCGACTCTCCCCCCCTCTTTTTTGGGGGTCACACCTGCTGGTGCTCAGGTGCTACTCCCAAAACATTGCAGAAGTGAGTGGGGGTGAGATACCATTCCTGGGATACTCAAGGATTATGCTATGTTGGGGATCAAACCCAGGACGCCTCGGTGCAAAGAATGTGCTCCAGTCCTTTCAGCTGTCTCTGTGGTCCTTGCTGATGTTTTTGTGCTTGTGATGAGCAAAAGTCACACATGGTTGTATCCTGGGGAGTTGTGATGTGAGTGGGGAAGGGGTCACATGGTTGTGTGGTGTTCATTGGGGATTCACATTTTGAGACAGTATTAGGAATCCTAGTGGATTTTGCCTTGGAAAATGGCATTTGCCTTACACACAACTGACCCTGGTTTGATCCCCACATTCCATATAGTTCCCTGACCACCACCAGGAGTGATTCCTGAGTGCAGAGCTAGGATCACACCCTGAGCTCTGCTGGGTGGGGCCCAAAACAATAACAACAACAATAACAATAACCTAAAAAAAAAACCCACTTATGGGGCAGGAGAGACAGTAGAGAAAGTCGGACACTTCCCTTACATGCATATGACCCAGGTTTAATCCCCGGCATCCCCTATGGTTCCCTGAGCCTGCCAGGAGTAATCCCTGAGCACAGAACCAGGAGTAACCTCTGAGCACTGCTGGGTGTGGCCCCAAACCAAAATAAAAAGTGATTGTGTGGGGCCTGGGAGATAGTTCAGAAGGCCGGAGCACACACGCTAGACCTTGTGTTCCATCCCTGCACTGCTTGGCCCTCTGAATGACACAACATTCACAACTCCCCCCCCCCACACACACACAACACTCTCCCAGTCCCACACAAGCACTTTAAACACGGCTAATTACAGTTGCCAGTGAGGAGGGCATGGATACACTCTCAGGATTTTCTTGTTCTTCTTTCCTGCCCCTTTTCAAGCCCAGCAAAACTCCCAGAAAGGAATGCTGAAGCTTGGTGAATTCAAGAATACACACACACACACACACTCACTCACTCACACACACAGAATTAGAACATCCCCTCCTCTTTCCTTCAGGAAGAGGGGTCATAGAGATCGTTCAATGGGGTTTTGCATATGTTACATGCAGGAGGTGCCCCTTGGTACTTGAATGCTGACCCAAAAGTAGCCCCGGAACACTGCTGGGTGTGATTCTGAAACCAAGCCCAACAGTAACATTAATATAGTCGCCAAAAGCAAAGAACGTTCCAGCTGAAGACAACACCTTGGCATCTTCTCAGTCCCCTGCATCCCAATTTTCAGCACAAAGGTACTGCATTACAACAGCACGAGTCTTCGAACCTCCTAAGACATCCCAGACAAAGAGTGGTGGAACCTTCTTCGGTGAAGAATGGCTAACATTTTTATGTAGACTGATAAGGGACTGCCCAAGTCTATGTAGTTTCCTCCCTCATCCATGGATTACTGAGAAAATTCCACAGGGCGTCAAAGCTGCCAACATAAGAAAATAAGTGAAGAAAGTTCACAAAGAAAAATAGCAATGTAGGGGCTGGAGCAATAGCACAGCGGGTAGGGCGTTTGCCTTGCACGCAGCCAACATGGCCAACACAGGTTCGATTCCCAGCATCCCATATGGTCCCCCGAGCACTGCCAGGAGCAATTCCTGAGTGCATGAGCCAGGAGTAACCCCTGTGCATCGCCGGGTGTGACCCAAAAAGCAAAAAAAAAAAAAATAGCAATGTAGTATCAGGCAACTTTCTCTACACCTGCCACATGGGGCATATTCTAACAGTCATTTCATTTATATTACAGAGAAATAATAATGGACGTAGTTTATGATGTTTAAAATGATTTTCCCAGGGCCAGAAAGTATTGGGATTAAGGAGATTACCTTGTATGTGGCGAACCCTGATTTGATCAGATCATGAAGCGCTGCTGGATATGACATCCCCAATAAATACAAATAAAAATATTTTTCTAGTGGAAATAATATGCCCTGATTATATAGTCTATTTCTAATTTCCCCATAAATCACCAGCAACTTCCTTCCAACAGTCTCTTCCTCTAGCTTCTTGCCCTGCAAACTATCCTGGCCTTCCTATTGAATGTTTCAACAATGATCATGCCTTTGCTTAAAGGTTTACACTGTTCCCCGATGCCAGTATACTCAAACTTTAATTCCTCTGCGTATTGTTCAAAGCTTCTTAGCCATCAGTTTTCCTCATCTGTCCTGATTGCCAGACTCGGCATGCTCTGAGCTGTATCATAATTTCCTTCACTGGAAATGCCAACTCTGCTCCCCGAAGCTTACTAATTCTCTTACTCATGCTTCAGGGCTGGATTCAAATCTCACCTCGTTCACGGCTTCTCCTTCTATCAATTCTTTGGGCACACTCCTTGTCCACCTCTTATGGGCAAGGCCCTTCATGGGCAGGTCACCGAGAAAGAGACTTGGAAAAGGTCCCTCCCCTGGAGAAGGGAATGTTGCTGCCTTGACAAAGATGTCTTAATAAGTCACCAAAGCCAGCTGCGTTTTTACAGTAAAAGTCTCTAAGATCTTCCAAGGAGGGCATGCTTGCCACAAGGTCACACTGCATCCGAAGATTTCAGAAAGAGTTCCTACTACGTGGAATTGAAGTCTCTTGATCTGGCTGTCTCTTTCTGTTTTGGGGTTACATCTGGCTATGCTCAGGGGTTACTCCTGGCTCTGCATTCAGGAATTACTTCTGGTGGTGCTCTGGGGGAACCATATGGGAAGTTGAAACTCGAACCCGGGCCGCCCTACCCACTGTTCTATCTCCCCAGCCCCTCTCCTTTATAGCTGAACTGAAATGCAAAAGCTGTTTTGTTTTTGAAAGCCTGGCCAAACCTCTCAGAACAACTCTACTTGGCCTAGTCAGAAGGACTGGGGAGAGAAAGGCAACACAGCCAGACTGCCTTCTGTGTGTGCTTGTTCCTTGATGCCAGCCCACTCTCTCCTGGCCGGATCCAGGGGATATAAATGAAGACTCCCTTAGGGGCCGGCTGGAGAACCAGGAGGGCGGTCAGGCCTTAGGCACAGCGGGTGCCAGGCAGGACCGAGGCAGAGCATCCCCCGCAGTCAACTGGGCCCTCTCGAAGGAACTTTAGATTCTCTGAGGCTTCCTTTAGGTCCTCGGGGCCTGCTGCCGGAAACCGTAGCGCAGACGTTTTGTAGCAATAAGGCTGGCGGCTGGCACAGTTGGTTCCCGGCCACCTGCTTCCACAGGTAACAGCAGCCAGAGTAGCTGCCAGGAGAGACGGCGGGGCTGCAGGTTCCCCGACGGGAAGGAGTTAGAGGAGCACGAGACCTGGGGAACAAGTCAGAAGACTTCACCTCCAAGCCGAGAGGCCGGCGGGATGTCCCGGGGAGCCCGGCGTGGGATGGAGTCGAGGCCAGGCACCCCTGGTCTTCTCCTGCCGCAAACTCTCCACCGTGCTCTCCCGCCGACGACCCGACCGAGTCCCTCCACTCTCAGCGCTCCGGGCCACGGTTTCCACCGACCTGAGCCCGGACGAGGTCCCCCGAGCCCCCGCGCCCGGGCCCCTTCGGGCGCCCCGAAAGCCTCCGAAGCTCGCGCTCCTCCTCTCTCCATCCCCTCCCCTCCCCTCCCCTTCCCTCCTCGGCCGGTCCCTCCCCCAGCGGCGGCGCAGGGGGGGCCGGGCTTGGCTCGGGGAGGCCCGTGCATTCCACTGAGCCGAGCGAGCTCGAGCAACAAAGGAGCCGGGTCGTCGGCGGGGAGGAGAAGCGGGGGGCTGCGGCGCGCTGGGCCAAGCGGGCAGCCGGGGCGGCGGGCGGGCTGGCGCGGGGGCGGAGCCCGGGTGGGGGACCTGGTTCTGCACCCCGGGGCCCGCGCCTGACCCCCGCCGCGGGGCCGGGGGATGGTTTTAATGTGGGGAGAGGGCAAGGGACTGGAGATGGGGGGCCCAGGGGGCTCCCGGGGCTGAAGAGCGCCGGGATCGCCCGGCGCCCAGAGTAGGAGACCGTGAGTCCCGGCCGGGGCCGCCGCCGCCCCGATGGGGCCCGGGTGCCCAAGTTCGCAAAGTTGGCGGCCGAGGGCCCGGGGCGCGCGCAGCGTCCGGGGGGACCCGGCACGGGACTCGCGGGGCACACAGGTCGCCTGAGCCGCCTCGGCGGCCCCCGAGGGTTGCGCGCGTGGCTCGGGGGGCTCCGGGAAGCGGCCGGGGGCGCGGGGGCTTCTGCTGAGTTGGCGGGTTTGGCCATGGCCTCTGCCCGCCTGGCCCGGGGGCCGACGCGCCCGCTCGCCGCGGGGTCGCCCCTGCTGCCGCCGCTGCTGCTCCTGCTGCTGCTGTTGCTGCTGCTGCTGCTGGGGGCGCCGGGCCCGGGGGCGGCCCTGAGCGGGAACGAGACGGGGCCTGGGCCGCGGGCCGCCGAGGCGAGCGCCAGGAGGAGCGCGGCGGGGACCGGCCCTCCGCCGCTGCTCAGCCACTGCGGCCGCGTCGCCTCCTGCGAGCCGCTGCGCTACAACGTGTGCCTGGGCTCGGCGCTGCCCTACGCCGCCACCTCCACGCTGCTGGCCGGGGACTCGGAATCCCAGGAGGAGGCGCACGGCAAGCTCGTGCTCTGGTCCGGTAAGCGCGCGCGGGCGCGGGGCGCGGGGCGCAGCGCGGAGTCGGCGCCGGCCCGTGCTCGGGGCTGGGCTCAGGCCCCACCCCCACCCCCGCCCCCGAGCCAGAAACTTGGGGGTCTCGCCGCGAGCTGGGTGGAGAGGACCCTCGGGGTGGGGGCGTTGTGGGGATCAGGAACGGGAGGAAGGTGGCGAGGCCAGGCACAAAGGGCCTCCCTCCTGAGCTGGGTGGGTGCGGAGAGGAGGCAGCTGGGTGAAAAGGCGGGGGAGATGCGGGGCACGGGAGGATGGGGGGGTTCACATCCACCCAGAGGGGGCATCCTTTTTTTTTTTTTTTTTGCTGGAAAAGTTGCGCCACTTCGCCGGAAGTGCCACTCCAAGAAGCGGGGTCTTCGGGGATTCCAGTTGTTTTAGACTTTGGAGAAGAAAACTCAAGAAGTCGCGTTAGAAGTGGGGAAAGAGATGGGAGGGTGGGGATGGAGGGGGTGGAGGGTCTTAGGCATTGAGAGAAGTGGGGGGAGTGGGGAGAGAGAATGGAGGGCAACTGGTGAAGGATAAAAACACCGCTGGTGATGAGGAAGAAAAAGGTAACCAGAAAGTTCCGGAACTCATGTTTGGGGAGACAGGAAGTCCAGAGATTCCAGTTTCCTCATCTGGAAGATGGGGAGTCCCATCCTTGGCTGGGGCTGGGAAAGGATGAGATTGTGCTCATGGACCCGGTCTGTCCTTGGGAAGCTTTTCCTTAAAGGAAGAGCCTGGGAAGGAACAGGTTTGGGGTGCTGGGTGCTTGTATGTTGGCGTGGGTACTCCCCCGAGCGCGCGGTGGAGTTACCGCAGGGCCTGGAAATCTGTAGGCTGAGCCTGCACGGGTGCCGTTTCCACTGTGGAAACCATCCCAACCAGTGCCGAGTGGATGGTTTTCCCACCTGGCGCTCTTCTGGGCTGAGCGCCTGAGGTTTCTGGGGAAGGGAACCTACATTGTTGTCCCTGGCATGGCTCCTTGGAAAAGAAACTTGGATCAGAAACCCCTTGCAGGCCTTCCCACCTCCTCGTTTAGACAGGAACGGGATGCACCCCTCCTTGCTGCCTCTGGGCAGGTGAGGGTCCTGCTGTGGCTAGCGCTCTAGACTCGGTGTTCTTGTCCACTGGCCCCAAGAGTTCTCAGTGTCTGTACAAGTGACGACAGAGCCATTCTGCTTCTGGCTGGGTGCAGATGCTGGCAGAAACCTCATGCCTGAGCTCACTGGGTGGATCCGGGTTTTTTTTTTTTTTTGGGTCACACCTGCGCACCTGGCGATGCGCAGGGGTTACTCCTGGCTCTGCACTCAAGAGTTACTCCTGACGGTGCTCAAGGGACCATATGAGATGCTGGGAATCGAACCCGGGTTGACTGCGTGCAAGGCAAACACCCTACCCGCTGTGCTATCTCTCCAGCCCCTGGATCCGGTTTTTAAGGTCCTAAGCAGGGCCAGAGAGATAGGGCCAAGGATCGGGCTCTTGCCTCGCACCAACTGACTTCAGTATGATCCCAGCTCCGCGTGTGGTCCCCCAAACATTATCAGGAGTGATCCCCAAGCACTGCTGGGAGTGGCCCAAAAACCAAAATGGAAAATTGTGTAACATAGTAATATACACTCTTTAAGAAGGGATATGTAAGGGATGGAGAGAGAGTAAGGTGCTTTTGCCTTGCATGTAGCTCACCCTAGTTCCATCCTGGGAGCAGCTTATGGTCCCCTGAGCCCCCCAGGAGTTTTGTCAGAGCATAGAGCCAGGATGTAAGCCTTGAGCACTGCTGGGGGTCAGCCCAAAACCAAAATAATAATAATAATAATAATAATAATAAAAGGGATATATAGAAAATTTAATTTTAGGGGGATTGGATAGATAGTACAAGGATTAAAGCATCTGCCTTGCATGTGACAACCTTGGGTTCTTCCCTGATGCTACATGGTCCTATGAGCACAGAACCAGAAGTAGCCTCCCCCCCCACACACACCCCTGGGCCACTGCGTGTGGCTCCAACCCACACCCTCACACACATACACATACTCAAAATTGTAATTTTGCTTATTAAAGTTACGTGAATGAAAAAGTAGAAAACTGAAGGAGGTAAGATGGATCGCTGAAGACAGGGCAAAAATAAGATCTCTTTGAGCACGATCTGATTTCAGCTCATTTAGCTGCAGTGTAGGAACTGGTGGGAGCGGAACTCAAAACCGCTCCATACCAGAATCTGGATGGGTTCTATGTAGCGCCTTTTGGGTAAGGATTGTCTCTCTGTTCCTTTCTCTTCCGGGGTGGTGCCTGGTGGTGCCTGCTCGCTGCAGTCCTTCCATAGTTACCCCACATCCTGGTGGGAGTGAGGATCCTGTTTCCAGCTCATCCTCCTGCTGAGAGCCTCTCTGCCCTGGAACAGTGAGCAGGAGCCGTCAGCTGTGCAGGTGGGAACGTCGCTGGACCTGTGGTGGGGCAGGGACCAGCAGAGCCGCCCGCCCACAGCCCAGGGCCGAGCCCTGCCAGTACCCACCATCCTCAGCTTGTTACTCTTGCCAGGTGCTTGCTGGCTGGTCTCCTTTGCTGGATGGTCGGTGAAGGAGAGCCAGAAACAGGTCTTAGGGCCAACTGGGGCCTGGCATGGATCGCGTGAACTCCACTCAAGCTTGAGAATGATGGATAGGCCTTCAGTCAGGAGCCCTGAACCTTCAGAGGGACCTGGCCTGAGCTGGGGGGTGGGAAGTCTTTTTTTCTCTTTTTTTATTGAATCACCGTGAGACACAGTTACATCTTTTTATGTTTGAGTTTCAGTCATACATTGATTGAACACCCATCCTTCCACCAGTGCACATTCCCCAGTATACCCACCCCTTTCCAACCCTCCCCCTGCCTCTGTGGCAGACAATTTCCCCCATACTCTCTCTCTACTTTTGGGCATTATGCTTGGCAACACAGATACTGAGAGGATATCACGTTTGGTCCTTTATCTACTTTCAGCGACATATCCGGGAGGGTCTTTTTTGTTTGTTTTCAGGTCACATTTGGTGGTGCTCAGGGCTTACTCTGAGCTCTGTTCAGGGATCACTCCTGGTGGGGCTCAGGGACCCATATGGGGTGCCGGGGTCAAATCTGGGTTGGCTGCCTGCCAGGCAAACACCCTACCTGCCGTACTCTTGGTCTTGATTTAGTTAGTTGACCTGAGGTGTTTTCTGTGGGTTCGGGATGAAGACCATCTCCACTGTCTTCCTCTGTAAGCTTCTGAATGGCCGTGGTTTGTTTTTCACTTTCAAAAGGAAACACCTGCGAATGCTGGGCAGGTCGCCATGCACTCATTGGTTTGGTGAGGAGCTGGGGGCTTTGCTTGCTCTGTGTCACCTCCTGATCAGGGTCTGGGGCCTCCAAAGGCCGAGAAGGTGACCTGGAATCCCACCAGCAAGAGGAAGCCAGACTATCACACAGGTGTCAGCTGTCTGTGTGAAAGGCATCATGATGGGCTGTTCACAGAACAGGATGATGTTTGGGGAGCAAGGGAGGACCAGGGGAATGGTCACGATGGCTCACAACCTGAGAACTAGGTGGGAGTTACCTGGGCCCAGGAAGGGGGGTGGGGACAGGAAGAGGAAGTTGCATGTGCCCAGGGGTAGAGGGCAGGTGGCTTGGAGCTTCATAAAGAGGCAGACGAATTTCATCAGAGCAGGATCAAAGAGTATGAGGGGTAGAATTATAAGAGATAAAACCTAGGGAATTAGAAAATAAAGGGATGCATACCCCAAATTAAGAAGTTTGGATGTTATCTAGACAATAATAAGGAGTCATTGAGGCTTGAAGCAGGGAGAGATGCAATCATATTGGCATTTTAGAAGAATCTCCTCGGGTGCTGTGGGCAGAGGTCTATGGGGGCAGGGAGAGGCCAGGCCTCGGTCGCTTGCTTAGAGCCCTGTTCTTTTTTTGTGGCTGAGGAGAGAGGGGTTGAGTCCCACCTAGAGATGCTCAGGGTCACTCTTGGCTGCACTAGGGATCATATGAAGTACTGAGGATTGAACTGGGTTCACCATGTTCAATGCACGCATCTTAGCCCTTGTAATATCTCTCCAGTCCCTCTTTCATTTTTTTTTTTCAAGGGATCGCACATGCCAGTGCTGAGGGGCGAGGGCAGGAATCATGTGGTGCCAGGAACTGAACCCAGGGCCTACTTTTTTTTTTCTTGTTCTTTATTTTGTTTTGACACTGTGTTCAGGACTTACACCTTGGTGCTTGGTGCTCAGGGATCACTACTGCACAGGGCTTGGGGGGACCATATGTGATGCCGGGAATTGAAAGTGGGTTGACTATGCAAGGCGACCGCCCTACCCACTATCTCTCTGACCCAGCGCCTACCTTCTTAAACTCTGCGTGTGATTCCATATGGGGTCACATAGCTCTCTAAAATCTGATTTTAGAGTCAGTTTGTGATTATTACCAGGAAATGTCTGCTCCATGTATGGTGGGGGTGACGGCTGTGTCTGGCCACACCCAGTGGTGCTCAAGGGTTACTCCTGACACTCCTGGCAGAGTTTGGGCTCAAACAGGAATTGATCTCATGCACATTAACTCAGTCCTGTGCTGCCTCTGACTCCCGTATACCTATTTTAATCTACATATATGCTTGGGCGTATAAACATTACTTGGGTCATGGAGGGAAAAAGTTAACCAAGGCTGGGCTCAGCGATGCTTGAAGGGTCCAGGATTGGGATGATGGCAGTGGCGGCGCAAGGTGGGTGAGTGCAGGCTCACAGGCTCCATCCCACGGAGTTCAGAGTAAGAACTGAAGGAGTGGGAATGAGCAGAAGGCGGTTTCTGGCTTGGGCGCCTCCCCGCCCCACTGCCCGCCATGCCAGCCCTCCGTTTCCTGCAGATGAGGGATGGAGCAGGCCTTCTGTGTGGGCTGTGTGCGCCCCGTGTCTCTGGGGAGGTGCCCAGTAGGCGAGAACAGATGCCCACTCCGCCTTGCTGAGACTTTGCAAACATGCC